TCACTTCCTCTTATATGTAATTTTGTATAACCCTGAGGGTCTCCTTCCATTTCCATGCAATTTCCCTTCTCTCTCCCTTTCCCTCCCACCTCTCATCCCTGTTTGATGTTAATCTTCTTCTCATGCTCTTTGTCCCTACTCTGTTCTTAGTTATTCCCAGCAGATTATGCCAAATGGCTTTTGGTTTTTTTTGAGATTGGCTTTTTCACTTAGCATGATATTCTCCAGTTGCATCCATTTCCCAGCAAGTACCATAATTCTTCTTTATGGTTGAAGAATATTCCATTTTGTATATATACCACATTTTCTTTATCTATTCATCTGTTGAAGGGTGCCTAGGTTGGTTTGGATTTTATTCTTTAGGAAAGTGAGAATATTGATCTTGAGCAGAAAAAGTGCAGGATCAGATTTACAGCTTGCAAAAATTACACAGATAGCAGTGTAGAATATTTAAGCTATAGTTTATGATATGGGAACCTTGAATGGAAACCTTCTAAAATCCTGGAATAGGCACTAGTAATGAATTTTGTGGTCAATTGTTTTTGTAAAATTTGCAGATTTAACCACTATGTCTTTTTCTACTGTATTATGTCTCCATTATACTTTCATTAGATTGTGGGCATTTCTGGAAACCCACTAATGGGTAGTGCAGGATTGTTTAGTCTGGATTTATTAATAGCTTAAAGTAGCCTGCAGACACTTTTGTGTAATAGGTAAATTGTTGGTGCCATTCAGGTGTATGCTTGGCTACTGTTAATACTGTGACTGCTCAGGAGTTCTAACACAATGATGAAGAGTCAAAGGTCATATTGTGATACAAATGTATCCAGCCATTCTTTCTGAAGGAAAGACCCTATATGGTATAAAATTTGGAACCTACAAATGGTAATCTTCAACTGGTGCAACAGCAGACAGAACCAAATTGCTATATTAAAAACATTAGTCCTGTGAGAGATGAAGGTCTGAATCCAGGCAGAGGGTGTGGAAAATGAGCAGAGGGTCAAAACCACAAGGCAGTCCAATTGAAGGTGCGTGGCTGCTATTCTCAGTGAGAAAGAACATTAGAGGAATCACAGAGGCTTGTAGGTTTCCTGCATCTGATAGACAAAGGAAAGGAACATGATGGGCCACAGCACAGGATGGGCACCCAGGTACTTGGGGAACACCATCTGTTATATTTCGCATTCCCTGGGGGCCACTTACCAGGGTTTGTTTTTTTTTTTCAGTCCTTGCTTTCTGGACAAAACGCTCCCAACCAGCAGCACTTGTGGGCCCTGAAAGCTTCCCAGCTTCTCGGCTCACCGGATGTGGGAGCAGCTCACCGGATGTGGGAGCAGCACTTCCGCCCCAGTGGCGCAGGCCCCCAGGGACCCAGGGCTCTCAGCCAGGCTTCCCAACCAGTCCTCACCTAAACCTGTGCCTGGGCCTGAGGGCTTTTAAGTGTTTGGGGCTCATCCTCCTTTTTGCTGAATAGTCTTCTGCAGGAAGAGAGTTTTCTTCTCACTTAATCCCCCAAACAGCGCTTCCTCCACAGGAAGTCTGCTGGGCCTTCCCCAGGGCTTTTTGGTCTCCAGGCTCCAAGGCGAGGCGCTAATGATGAGTCAGCACTGATTTCCCAGATGGTAAACGCAAGGCTCATTACCTCTGGTGGTTTGCACAAGGCAAGGGCAAGAGTGCTTCAGGAGTTGGGTTTAAAGTCTGCGGTGACCTTTTGGTTTTCATATATGAATTTGGAATTGAAGGAGAAAGCTCCCAGGAATTAAGATACTTATTTTTGAAGCCAGTTTTCTCCGGGAGAGAGACTATAATCATTGCAGCCTTTTGAAATCCCGGTTCTAGAGGGCTTATTTCCACTATCTTGTGGCCAAGCTCTGCCACTGTTAAGGATGTTAGAGGAAAACTTGACTTCATTATTGCTAACAGTTGTGGTACAAATAGAAATGCAAATTTTGATTTGTTTACTAATTACAAATACTTTCTGAACATGATATTCAAAAGAATAATACCCAAAATGTGGTGGACAGTAGTGGTTCAGTGGAAAATTTAATGACAGTGGTAATTGAGAGTGTGAATATGAACCCCTGCAGTTATCCCCTGAACAACATGGTTAGAAATGTCATCTCATCAAGCCTTTTTCTGACCACCTATTTTTTAAAAATTTAACCTGTGTTTCTACTCCCTTCCTATTTACCTGTTTAAAAATTTCCCACCCTGTAGTACCATTTCTTCTGTAACACGTGGYATAATTTACTCATTTGTTACAGTCAACATTTGTTATTTGTCTATCCCATACTAGAATTAAGCTCTGTGAATGTGATAGCTTWACATAGTTCCTGGAATTTAGCATCCATTTTCCATTATATTTTGATATTTAAAGTGTCATGCTTTTTGATGTTGCTTCAGGGCTGAACCTATTGTTTTATTTATTTATTTTTAAAAAATATTTATTTTTTTAGGTGTAGATGGACATAACACAATGCCGTTATTTTTATGTGGTGCTAAGGATCAAACCTGGTTCGCCCATGCTAGGCAAGCGCTCTACCACTGAGCCACAATCCCAGCCTGACCTATTGTTTTATATTTGTGTCCTTCATTGCGTATTGTAGGCACAAATAGTAAATATTTGTTGAAAGAGGGAAGGATTGAAGTAGATGAAAATATTAGGTTACTGGGAATCCAGTTATTTGTCACATGAACATTTGTTTTATAATGTTATGGTCCACAGCAATAATCTTTTGCAAACTGGAGTAGGATGTTATGAAAGATTTGCGTATAATTTCTGAGTTTTTATTTTACTGTTCATCTGAAAAATTAAATATACTCTGGGTTATCTAGATGCCAAAAACTGGCAGGAGGCTTTAGTATCCTTTGTTTTAGTGTCTATTTTGGGCATGTTAAAACTAGTGCTTTCTCACAAGTTAAAGAAAAAAACATAAGAAAAAAGTGAATGATTTATTCACYATAACTGAAGCCCAAATGACAGTAAGCCTCTCTGTTGGTAAATTTCCCAGTAGTTTAAAAGGAGAAAGGAAATGAAAGAAATGAAGCACAAGATATAAAACAGAAGTTACATGTTCTTATTTTGAAAGGGGATTTAGTATTAGCAAAACACCACCAATTTTCTTAATATTTTAATTTAATTAATATTAAATTTAAACTAAATTTTTAATTTTTTGTTAGCTTTATATACATACATTTGTAATTTTTGGGTTTTTTATGGCTATAAGAGCTAAAAATGAGGAATTTGAGCCTCTTTTTGTTTTATATATTTAATATAAAAATATTTCAAATTGGTTTTAGACCTTTAACATATATTTTTATATATCAGTTTTCAGTGGGATGTTTATTCTTTACTCAAGTTTGTGAAGATCTGAATTATAAAGTAAAAGATTTTAGGAACCAGAGCACAGAATGTTTATTTCAATAAAGTCTAGGTGTGACAATTCCATGTAGGACAGATATTTCTGCAGCAGCTCTGTTAGTGGTACTTGTGGTACTAAAAAATATAAGGGACCTGGCGCTGTGACTCAGCGGTAGCACACTTGCCTGGCATGTGTGAGGCACTGGGTTTGATTCTCAGCACTGTGTATAAATGAATAAAACAAAGATCTGTCAACAATTAAAAATATTTTAAAAAATATAAGGGAGGAATATTAGGAAAATGTAGAGAATTGCTTGAAGAAAATAGAGGAATTTTAGATAAACTTGGGACTTTTTGTAATTTAGCTTTTGGCTCTGAATTTGTGGGTTCTCTTTCTGACTCTTCAAATGACTCAGTGAAGTGTAGTCTTCATTTTTGTGAATCTCTATGCTTGGTGTAGGATATTTGGAGCCCTAAAGAATTGTTTAAAGTCATTGTGATAGAAGATCAGAGGAACGAAAAGCTTAATTTTATGATACTGTCCTCCCCGTTAATTCTTTCAATCTCTCTGTCCTGGGTYTTACAATGGAAAATAGGAATTGAAAGAAATGAGATGAGGGTGTGAGTGTGATTTACTTTAATGAGAGAGCTTTTTTATTTTTTATTTTTTGAGAAGGTGTTTCTGAGTCAAGGTTTCTACCATGTTCAGAATAATTGACAGTCAAGTCAATTAGCACATATTTACTGAGTACAATGTTAAGTGTTAGGCAAGATATGAGAAACCAAAGAAGGAACAATACAGGGTTCTTGCCTTTGGGACCTAGGTAGAATTAATTTTGATTTATTGTTTGTCTTTATTTGRTACACTTTAGTTAAATATGAGTGGGCAGTTTGAAATATTTTAGTAGATTTTGCTGATTTTTCTGATTTTCAAAGAGTTTGGAGTTGTTAAGGGCTCAAATGAATTTGGTCATTTTGTCTTTTTCTGTTTTTAGGGGTGTCATGAAAGTTGATATAAATCTTCAGAAAGTGGACATTGACCAGTGTTCAAGTGATGGCTGGTTTTCAGGAACTCACAAATGCCACCTGAACAATTCCGAGGTAAGAATATGAAAGTAAAATTCTCTTAAATTAGAACTGAAAAATGYATTACATTTGTATGTGTTGTATTTGTGTGAGTCAATGAACAAAAGGCATCCAACTGAGGAAAAAAATCTACGCTGATCTCAGTATTGCCAAGTGAGCTGAAAGATGGGGAGAAAATAAGTTTGTGCAGAGTAACCTTTCACTTGGGTATTCTCTAAAGCGAAAGCCCAAAGTAAGATTATGCCTGAAGTTTGATGTTAGTTAAAGACTACCCTTTTCTTCAAAATGGGTTGGAAATTGAAAAGAACCATGAGGAGAGAAAATACTCCCAGGAATATCAACCAGATTATGTACATTTTTATGGAATATGATGCTTATTGAGACATAGATGGTATTCATTCAGATACACTGCTATCTGCTACAAAGCAATAGAAAAGATATGGCAGGGCAAAAAAAAAAAAAAAAAAAGGAGAAAACTATATGCAGGAACCCAGAAAGGTGTATATATTTGTATGTGTTTTTCTAGTTTTTAAAAAAATCCTTTCCATACYTGATTCAATGGGATTCTGGTTGATAAGGAACAGAGATAAGTATTCTGGAAACATGACTGTTACTTACCGTAAGTTTAGAGAAGAAATGTGATGGCATACTAATGATTTCATTTTCAATAATTTATCTGTAATATACAAATACGCTATGAAACAAGTGTATAATAAAGTTTCTGATCTTAAATATTTGTACTATTCCAATATTGATCCCATGAATTTGTGAGAAAAGTCAGCTTGACTCATTTAAAATAGGATATTTCCACAAATGTGGTAATTACATCTTTAATTTGATTTTTTGCCGTTTGTGAATTATAGTTGTATATAGTACATAGTGTGGTTTTAAGGTAAGAAATTTTAAATTGGAAGGAAATTGATCATGAAGAACTTATACCTTAAATTGGTCACATTTCCACCATATCCCTCTGATCCCCTTCAACTTCCTCAATATCCCACATAGCCCCACTTCTCCTGCATCTCCACACACMTCTATATAACCAACATTATACTTGCCTCCCCCCACCTATGACCAATTGGGACTCAATGATATATGTGAGTGTCTTGTTAACTCACAAAAATTAAGATCTCTTTTTGCCTCTTTTCCCTATTATTTTTTTTGTGGTTTTGAACATTTTTTGAGCCCCCAATTTCATCTGGGTGATTCTGGCATTTCTAAAGAAATGAATTTCAATCATTAATTTGGTGAATATTATTGGTCTGATTGATTATTGTCTCCATGCCAAGGGCATATAGACACTTAAGCATGGTCTTTAGCCAGAGTGAATGTTTTGCTGCTGAGTCTCAATTTGTGGATATTGATCTGTATGTACTCATTTCTGTATAACCTTGTTTTAGTGGTGCTCTTGGGTGATCCAATAAGTGGTCAATCTACAAACAGGGAGACAGTTACTTTTATTTTTTTTATGATTGCCCTTCCTTGTAATGATTTTAGTATGGTTTAGGTGTCTTCATAGCACACTTATTTATTTGACTAGATGGTCATATTTCAAGAACCTCTTTCTGTTTTTTGGAAATTGATTTATTTTCATTGCATCAGGGATATTAATTTTTTAGGTTCTGTGCATTTTCAAAATAAAATATTATCCTCTTCCGATTAGTAAAGAYTAGATTGAAATATGTACATTTTAGGATTATTTATGGGAGCATTGTATTTATTTTATTCCTATTAGAAAACTGGAAATATATATCCTACAAGACAATTGACAGTTCAGTTAATTTTACTTGAAAATGTTGGAGGAAGAGGTTCAGTTATCCAAAAGTAATATCAAAACACTGGATCTCCTGAATGTAYATTTTGACTTGGAATCTGCATCTTCCATCCTTTTTCCTTGCCCAGATACTGACATTGGATTAGGGGATTTTTGTGTCCTGGGATGGGCCTATGAGGTCTTTGTGGGATGTTATACCTTACACAGGACTGTCATGGAATTCTTCACACCATTTTATTGTTGCCATTGGGCTTCTCTAAGGTCCTGTAGTTGGTGCTAATTACTCTAGGCACCTGCAACAGCTCCATATCTCATCCTCCGTCTAGTTACCAGGTATAGACTTTCACTTCCTTTCCTGGACTGATATGAATCAGATTAGAAGCTGACTTCTCTTGACATTTTTACTTCTCTTGACATTTTTGGGAAAACCCAAAGGAAATTCTCTTTCTGGAGCATTTATTTGTGTGTGTGTGTGTGTGTGTGTGTGTGTGTGTGTGTATGTATGTATGTATGTATGTATGTATGTGTTGGGTACTAGGGATTGAACTTGGGGCCACTCAACCAACTGAGTCACATCCCCAGCCCTATTTTGTATTTTTGTTTAGAGAAGAGGTCTCACTGAGTTGCTTAGTGTCTTGCTTTCTGCTGAGGCTGACTTTGAATTTAMAGTCCTCCTGTCTCAGCCTCCTGAGCTGCTGGGATGATAGGAATGTGCCACTGTGCCCAGCTGGAGCATTTTTCATTAGCTTTGACTCTACTTTGTCCTCCTAATCTGCTGTTATCAACATCATGGATCACTATGTGAATTGGTCTATTTGGGGAAGTACTTAACATGATTTCACATTTTAGGAAACAGGGTCCTGTCTTTATGACTGTCTGTATCATTAGACATAGATGCATCTGTCATGGTGCACAGTTGGTTGTATATCTTGCCAATGTTTAACATTCTTCTCTTGTAAGTAATAGAAGAACTCACGAATTTCAGAGTTTTAAGTGAGGTTGAGCTTTTCGTTTTTCATTTTTAATTTTCTCTTCAGTGTTGACTATTCAGCTTCCACAGTATGTTTAGCTAGTCTGATACTGGAAATAAATAAGAGGGACCTAATGACAAAAGGCCCAGGCATGGAATGGTTTGTGAAAAAATTATTTCTCAATGACTGTAGATAGGTACAAGTTCTTGGAGGATATAAGTTGGTCTTTTTTTTTTTTTTGTACTGGAGGATTGAACTCAAAGGTGCTGCTCTACATCCCCAGCCATTTTTATTTTTCATTTTGAGGAGATGTCTCACTTAGTTGCTTAGGGCTTGCTACTTTACTGAGGTTGGCCTGGAACTTAATGATCCTTCTGCCTCATTCTCCCTAGGAGTTGGGATATTAGGCATGCACTAAGTGTACCTGACAGTGTTTTTGGAAGGACATATTAAAACAATATGTGAACCAGGACTCTGAACTAGATTTCAGGATTGCACTGACTTGGCTGTCTTCACAGTTATGAAGCTTTAGATCACTGCAACTAGACTTGATTGCATTTTCAGTATCCACTTAATTCCTAATCTATTTTCATATCAGTGTTTGAGTACATAAAATCATCYCCTACAGAATAGTTTATTAAAAACATAAAATTAATTGTATTAATTTTTATTTTAGAGATTTTCTTTTGCTTTTTCTCCACTATAATAAATCATTATTTGAAGTAGAAAATATTAGGATAATGGCCTTGAAGCTTGATAATCATATTTCTAAAGTAAAAATGCTTTCATCACATCTGGTGTGTGTATATTTAAATTTATACAGTATATGCATCTTTTATTATATTTATAAATTAGAAAAAATAAGGTTGGCATAAAGATGAAATATTTTAATGTAAATTATATTATTTTGTAAAAATAATGTCTTTAACAGCAAAATTATTGACTCATACTTTTTGCAAATCTTTTTAACAAGAATGTTATAATTGTGTGTTATTATTTTTGAAAGTCTCAGTTTAACACTTATTAATGCAGTTATTCAAAGGTTTCTAACTTCAGTGTATTTTTATACTTAGATTTAATATCTGTCATAGTTGAAAAGATGCCTCACAAGCACACATCAATCTAGACTAAAGGAACAAATTATTTACTGTGTTTGCTAAATTATAATGTTATTTTTTTCAGTTTGATCTACCAGTTTTGCAAATATTTCTGCACATAGCTGGCCATTTTTTGTCTTATCTGATACTAATTTGTCTCTGCTAACTAATTGGAAACTGGGTGTTTTAATATTTTGAAGGAATAGGTTAAACATTATCTGAATCTTTTTATGTGGAATATTAAAAAAACTGATTARGGAATTTTATTTTCAAGTTTAAGCCATAGGACACTGAATGTTTATAGATTTTGGCAACATAACACTGGAAACATTTTCAAATGTCTCACTTTAAGAGACATTCTCATGTATTGCTAAAATGTTACTTTTACTTTGAAGGAATGGTTTATGTGCTTTTTGAAAATGTCTTGTACATAGACACTATTGACAATTACTTATCATCACAGATGAGATCATCAAATTTAGAACATTTGCCTTTTAGTAAGGCATAATACATGACCAATATTTAAGCTCAAAGACAAGCACTTTGAGATAATCAGACAATATTTGTGTGGGAAGATTATCTGGGTCATGAAGAATTATAAATATTGCACAATTCAAAGTAATATGCTCTGTAAATCTGTCTAAATGGCCAAGTATAGATGGTAATAATCGAAATTTGAAAGCAAAACAGAAGAACCAAGTAACAGCTGTCAGTATTTCCTTGTTGAAACTTCCAATTTTTCTTTAGGATATCTCAAGTATTTTATCAGGTTTGTGTCATCTGAAGTATGGACTCAGGGCATTTATGTTAATCCAAGTCTCAAATATTAGCAAAGTTTACCTGATTTATTTTTGCTTTAAATAAAATTTAAACATAAACAGGAATTCTATTATTTTCTTCTTACACGCCAATTATCATCTTAAGTATTCTTGCTTTGAAAACTATTTTTTGAGGTTATCATATTCACTGTTCTACCCAGAATCCCTGGAATAGTTGTGTTGTCAACTCAGTCATTATCTTTATATTGTGTTTTAAAATTGCTTTTATTTTTTAAATACATGACAGCAGAATGCATCACAATTCTTATTACACATATAGAATACAATTTTTCATATCTCTGTTTTTGTATATAAAGTATGTTCACACCAATTCATGTCTTCTTCCATGTACTTT